TGGGCTTAGGCAATTCTCTTGCCTCAGCCTCCCAAGTAGCTAGGACTACAGGCACCCCCCACAATGCCCAGCTGTTAAGAATTGACTTTTATTTTGCTCAAGCCCTGCCAGCTCAGTCCCCTGTCCCTTGCTGAGCGTGAGCACACCGCTAACAGGAGGCTACCCCTGCAGGCTTCACTCCCCAGGGGACAGCACTGGGCCCAGGAGTGGGGGTGGTAGTGCTGGACTGGCAAAGCTGTGACCCTGGGCGTGGTGCCCTCCACCTCTCCCAGCTGCTTTCTGCTGCCCTGCCCATGTCCATCCACTTGGGATCTGGCCTTGGTCGCTCCCTGCTGGACCTGGGGATGGCACCCTCTGCCCCAAGCACTCAGTGGCATCATCCAGAGCCCTGAGAGACAATTCATGACGGGTTCTTCTTAATTTTGTTATACTGAGCTCTATGGAATTGGTGACAGGGCAGAGAAACCACAGCAGCTCTTATGGTATGGGATGTGGATAGGGGCAGGGAGAGTTTTTGGGCCCTGGGTCTACACCTGCTCATCCTGCAAGGCCTGGGGTGACCTCAGCCACAGGGGCAAGAGGTCCTCACAGCACACTGTCTCCACAGGCTGGCGTGGCATCTTTGCTGCTGCCAGAATCACACAGGACATTTAGGACAGAGGTTATCTGGTAACCTAGTAATGCTGGGCTCATCAATTTATTTTCTGGACTATATTGTGATAATTCTAAAGATAAATAAATCTACCTTTAAAAGTTGTTTTATTTCCACATAGATATGTAATGCTCAAAGACATTGATCTTTGTGTAAACTATACTTCATTGGATGAAATACATTTATTTCTAAACTCACACAAAGATAAATTTGGCAACTCGTCACATCACAGAAGCACTTGCACTCACCTGGACCTTCACATTCTAACCTAGAAGGGGGATCTTAACCTATTAAACATTCCAGATAATAAAACAAATAAAATAAATTCAGAGTGCTTTCACTGGAAATTGCTGACATATTTGAATAATTTGTTTATGTTAAATGCACAAATTTAAGTAGGCAAATATTATGAAGTTGATAACTAATTTAGGTGAGGTTATTTTGAATCACTAGACCATGGAATGGGGAAGTGATAAATTGAGTGTAAATAACTCTCCTCCCATTCCATCCTGTGGGGGGAGATAATGGGAAAACAGAGCTTAAACAATCTCCCCAGGACCTCAGGACCTAAACAGTGGACTTCCTGTGGTTCCCATCACCTCACACTGAATATGGTAGAACAGATAAGGCAGACAGGGAACAGTGAACCTTACCTGTGCTTGACTGTGTGATATTCATTCCACAGGGGAGACTGAGGAATCATATGTCATCAGTGTTGTGGAGAAGAGCCGGGTCCTGGTGGACAGCACCATCTGCCACAATATGGAAAGGTGAGATGGGAGAGTGCCACCTGAGATGTGGGGTAAG